AAGGGAAGCGAAAGGCAAAGGAGAAAGAGAACGATACACCCAATTGAATGCAGAATTCCAGAGAGTAGCTAGAAGAGATAAGAATGCCTTCTTAAATGAACAGTGCAAAGAAATAGAAGAAAACAACAGAATAGGGAGGACCAGAGATCTCTTCAAGAAAATTGGAGATATGAAAGGAACGTTTCATGCAAAGATGGGCATGATAAAGGACCAAAATGGCAGGAACCTAACAGAGGCAGAAGAGATTAAGAAGAGATGGCAAAACTACACAGAAGAACTATACAAGAATGAGCTTAACATCCCAGATAACCACAATGAGATGGTCACTGACCTCGAACCAGACATCCTAGAATGTGAAGTGAAATGGGCCTTATAAAATCTGAGCAACAACAAAGCTAGTGGAGGTGACAGTATTCCAGCTGAGCTATTCAAAATCTTAAAAGACGATGCAGTAAAAGTGCTACACTCAATTTGCCAGCAAATTTGGAAAACTCAACAGTGACCACAGGATTGGAAAAGGTCAGTTTACATTCCAATTCCAAAGAAAGGCAATGCCAAAGAATATTCAAACTATCCGCACCATTGCACTCATTTCACATGCTAGTAAAGTTATGCTTAAAATCCTACAAGCTAGACAGCAGTATGTGGATTGAGAACTACCAGAAGTACAGGCAGGATTTCGAAGAGGCAGAGGAACTAGAGATCAAATTGCCAACATACGCTGGATCATGGAAAAAGCTAGGGAGTTCCAGAAAAACATCTACTTCTGCTTCATTGACTATGCAAAAGCCTTTGATTGTGTGGATCACAACAAATTGTGGCAAGTCCTTAAAGAGATGGGAGTACCAGACCATCTCATTTGTCTCTTGAGAAACCTATATGTGGGTCAAGACGCAACAGTGAGAACCGAACACGGAACCACTGATTGGTTCAAAATTGGAAAAGGAGTCCGGCAAGGCTGTATACTGTCGCCCTGCCTATTTAACTTATATGCAGAGCACATCATGAGAAAGGCAGGGCTAGATTAATCAAAAGTTGGAATTAAGATTGCCGGGAGAAATATCAACAACCTAAGATATGCAGATGATACCACTCTAATGGCAGAAAGTGAAGAGGAACTAAAGAGCCTCTTGATGCGGGTGAAGGAGGAGAGTGCAAAAGTTGGCTTGAAACTCAACATTAAGAAAACCAAAATCATGGCATACGGCCCTCTCAATTCCTGGCAAATAGATGGGGAAGAAATGGAGGTAGTGACAGATTTTATTTTTCTGGGCTCAAAGATCACCTCAGATGGGGACTGCAGCCAAGAAATTAAAAGACGCTTGCTCCTGGGGAGGAAAGCTATGGCAAATCTAGACAGCATACTAAAAAGCAGAGACATCACCCTGCCAACAAAAGTGCGTATAGTCCAGGCCATGGTTTTCCCAGTTGCAATGTATGGCTGTGAAAGTTGGACCATAAGAAAGGCTGAGCGCCAAAGAATTGAGGCCTTTGAACTATGGTGCTGGAGAAGACTCCTGCGAGTCCCTTGGACTGCAAGGCGTTCAAACGGTCAGTCCTAGAAGAGATCAACCCCGACTGCTCTTTAGAAGGCCAGATCCTGAAGTTGAAACTCAAATACTTTGGCCACCTAATGAGAAGGAAGGACTCCCTGGAGAAGAGCCTAATGCTGGGAAAGATTGAGGGCAATAGAAGAAGGGGACGACAGAGAATGAGGTGGCTGGATGGAGTCACTGAAGCAGTAGGTGTGAACTTAAATGGACTCCAGAAGATGGTAGAGGACAGGAAGACCTGGAGGAACGTTGTCCATGGGGTCGCGATGGGTCGGACACGACTTCGCAATTAACAACAACAACAACAACAAGGCTGGAGGTACTCTCCCCTCTCCTGTATCCAGTTCCTCTATCATCCTGCGTATGGCTTTCATTCAACACGAGGACGATCGGTTGAACAGCAATTGCAGCCAAGACAGGAGAGCCCCATAAGAGAGGAAGGTGAAAAATCTGGAACAAACAAAAACAACACTCACTGGCAGCAGACTGAGCAGCTGGGTGCTGTCAATGAGATCGTAACAGATGACACTCTGGGCATGCACCAGAGAAGCGATGCCAGAACAACAGACCATTAAGGAGGACACTTAAGAGAGAAGATAAGAGGAAGAATAACACAAAATGGGAGGAGGAATCTACACCATGGCTCAAAGAGATAAATAAACAAAAGCAAAACAGACCCCAAACCCACAGGAGCACGAAAAGTAAATCAAACCCCCCCACCCATCAGAGAAAGCCATACGCAGGACGATAGAGGAACTGGATACAGGAGAGGGGAGAGTACCTTCAGCCTAAACCCACCTATCTCTGAACCAGCAGATAAAACAAAGTATAAGGGACTCAAACAAAAGAAAGGAATATACAGTAACTTAAGAAGTGCACTTAAAATGCAGCCTGACCAACTGGATCCAACGAAGCACTCTGTAAACCAGAGATAGGCATTTAACAACTATATGTAAGATTTCTTTCAGCATCTGCCTTTTAACCCTGATGATGTCAAGTGTATTTGACGAAAGCTTGGTCGATTAAACTTTTATTTCTTAAATTTCTCTTGGTGATCATTATTTTAATTTTATATATATATTAAAAAACACAAGTTTTATACCTGTGAAATACACTCTTTCCAGACCCAGGGAATTCTTTGCCCAATCATCATGATATTGGGAAAAACTGTTTTAAGATGCTTCCCAGGGGGGTCTCCAGGCCAATCACAGGTCTCGTCTTTTCCCAAGGGACTTATTGGCTTTCTCTTCACTGCCCCTTTGTCCAGTTCTGTGTTCCTCACCAAGCCAGAAGCAGAGTATTTTCTCCAATCCTGAAAATGCTTTGCGTCTTCATTTTTGGCAGGCAAACTTGCCAGTGCTTCCATGGAACTGACACACCAGCTCTTGCAGGTCTGAGTTTAGAGATGTAAGCAAGATTGAAACATTTCAGTCATCAATAGGGTAGAGAGAACACTCCAGCCAGATCCCCAGTGTGCATATAAGGGGAGGGGGGAGCACATGAGTTATAAAGGAGTTAATGTAGCAAATTACAAACTTGGCTCATGGGGAGAGCAGACATTTTTGTGGGTGCTTTTTGCCTTCTCAATAATGTGTAGGGTTAACTGAGGAAGTGTAGGGTTAACTGAGGTAGAATGAATGTTTCTTTGTAGTCAGAACAGAATTGTATGTCCCTATGACTTACATGATATATAGCTCTTGCAACTATGAATGGGAAGATGAAAGGCCTGGTACCATCTCAGAAGTGAGAGAGATTTCAAGAACTGTATAAATTATCTTTCTCATTTTTGGCTTGTGCCAATGGAAGGAATTGCATAAAACAGGCAAGCATAGACAGATGTCCTTGGCTTTCATCACATATATTCAGAGTTCTGAACCTTCATGGCCAATGGGCACATTTGGACTTTGAGAGCATATCATGGGCATTCTCCCCACCCCCCACCCCAGGACTGCCATGATGGGTGTATCCAATCAGAAAGCTTCCATGAACAAGAAAGGAACTTCATGAGGTTCTTCCCCATTGTTCCTATTCCTCTCCTGAATAAACTCAACCACCCTGGTTTTCCTTTGACTTTTTTCTGAGCTCTTTTGTAAACCAAGCATTGGGTTGCAGCTACCCATCACTCTATTTTTTTCCTTTTGAGGCAGTATTTTGCTGTAGCTGTGACCATCTTCCTTTAAAATAAATAAATAAAACAAAAGGCATATTTTTTATAAAAAAAACCTGTGATGGCCAATAAATTAAAGTGAGGGGAGGAATGTTTGAAAAAAGGGACTTATTTGAGCAGCATTTCAAGTTATTGGTGTGCATAAAAATCTTAGGCAACTATAGTCTTATGGTGATAGCCAGAGATTTGCACTCAGAAACTATCCTAGGTTTCAGGATGGCCCCTTTGGGCTAAACCTATAATGTATTTGATTCAATTATTTGTTACTCTGACATCCTCTCTTTGTTTCAAGACTTCAAGGAGGCTCCCCAGAAGTACAGAATCCTATACTTTCATGAACATGACCAAAGCAGTGCTGTGGTGTTGCAGTGCAAGCTTTGCACATGTATATCCCAAAGGGGCAAAGCTTGCATTGCAACAGTACAGTGCCACTTTCTTCACTCCAGTCTGGCTGTTATAGGGATCCATGATAGACAGTTAATCTTTTCCTCGATAATGGCCCAGCTGAAGCCCATTAGCTGCCATTAAGCTCAGACAACTCTGAGCTGTGGTCTCGTTCATGTAAGACAGATTTCTGTATTATGAAGGAAAAGGAAGCTTGACAGATACTGTTGTGTATATATAAGAAGGGTAAATAAATAAATGTATTTATGGCCTAGACCCATATTTGGTCTTTAATTTAAACTTGACGCAATGTACTTACAGTAGTGCTCCGTCCTCCATTTTTCTCACCACAACCCTGCACAGCAACCTTTAGTTGGGCTGAGGGTAAATGATGGCCCCAAATTGACCCACTGAATTTCTATGGCTCAGGGTAGCCCTGGAAACTGGGTATCCAGGTGCTAGTCTGAGACCTTAATTACAACATCACACTCTCATTCACTCTTCTGGGCAACTGAATACACCCATTAAATATTCTGAATAAATCTGCATATTACTTGACTGAAGGCTGGTTTTGTGTCAAAAAGGAGAATGTAAAGATGCTTTTACATCAAGATCAGTTACTAGTTATTGCCACACAGAGATCCTGGTAACAGTACAGAAGTGGCATGCCATTATTTTCCTCCAGATGTTTTTCCTGAAATGTAGATCTGGCCTTGGGAAGAAAGCAGTGAATAGTTAAAGGAGAAGAACTCAGCAACTCAATCCTTCCATAGAGGGATACATGAGAAAGAAACTCAAAGTAACTCCCATCTTGATTTTTTTTATATAACATGGGGCAAAAAGAAAGCCTGAGAGGCTTTCTATCCTACAACAATAAAGAGCATTCATAGATTTCATTTACAGATGAAAATACATGCTTTAATATATCGATGAGCAAATTAAAATGATAAACTATTGTTAAATAATATTTTTTTCAGAAATAATGAGATTGTAAGAGGATTCACTGTATTTAAAAAACAATCTGACATATTTATAGCATGTCAAAAAGCAAGTTTGCTGCTTCATACAATTAGTTGGAAAATGTTCCACACCACAGCCAAATAAAGAACATGTTGAATCCTCACAGTGTTGGTTTCGCTAAGTTGTCTTTTCACCCAAAACATGAACTTAGGCAAATTAGTGTAAATTCCTGGAAATTTTGGTCGGCCACAGCCAATACCATAGCTGGTGATTCCTACAATGTAGTATTTAGAGTCTGATAAACATACCAGAGGTCCACCACTATCTCCCTGAAAAATAAAAAGATAACAATAAGTAGTGACTTATATTATTTAAAAGCATGCATGCATAAAGGCCATCCCTCCTCCTATTTAGTTTTTTAGTGAAAATACAGCAGCCAAATATCTTCAGTGACATTCAGGCTTCTGATGCTATAAGCCCAATATGGCAAACTGAGAACAAAGAATTAGGTCTTCCTCATGGCCACATTAATGTGCATTCCTCCCATCCTTGAGTTAGTAAGAAAGTGCTGTCCCCACAGTAGAGCCCAACTTAGGCTGAGAACAGTTTCTCTTCTTACAGATTTAATCTGCAAGAAGCAGTTCTTTGAAGAAGAGACATTACTTTGTTTTCATAAGTTACCTCTGCTTTATTTCCATTGAAATCCATAGGATAAATTAATCATTGCTAACTTAAATCCCACTCAGGGTGAAAACATTATTTGGTTGAGCTCTAAAATAGCAATAGCAGTAGTAATTGATCTTTTATCTCAATTCAAAAATATCCCACATATAAAATTCTGAAATTTTATTAGTTTTACTTTTCTGACATTTCCTATCTGCTTCAATGCATCTGTAAATTGTTAATCTAGTAAACCTAACTGGAAATTAAGTGAACATGTTTTGAGATAGATCTATGTCCATTTACCTGACAGGTATCAACACCCCCAGTTTCAGAGCCAGCACAAAAAGCAGTATCTGGTACTGATCCTGCATGCCAGTCATATCGATTGCAAATGTCTAGTGAAAAAATTCTTAGCTGTGCTTCTTGTAATGTGAAGCTGCCTCTAGCTGTAAGGAAAGCAATAGCTTTTATTTATTTATAATTTGCAACAAGAACTATATAAAAATGCTGAATACCAGCTATTGTCTGCAGATCAGTAATGCAACACTGGGAGAATATCATTTAACCTTGAATATGCCTCATTATATCTTCTAATGTGTAGCTATTAATTCAGAAATCCATGTTTGAACAATACTCCATAGCACAGTAATTTTGATACATATACACATATACAGAAAGTTGATTGTGTGCAAAATCTAATATTTAGTGTTATGACTAAAGCAAACAATTGAAAAACCATTTGTTATTTAGAAAACTACAAAAACATGCAAATTTGATATTTATACAAATTCACAGAATCTGCATAGAATCTGCACTTTTATAAAATCCATTGATTCTATGATGCAAATAAGAACTTGCAATGGTGAGCAATTCTGACATATCCTTGTGTTGATAGCACTATCTGTGGATGAGAAAAAAGTGTTTTCAACACTGCCACTTCAGAAACAGCAATCATTACTTCCTTGTGCTTACTGGAAAAGGTTTTTGGTTTGTTCTTCCAAGTTTCTGATAATCCATTAGAGAAAAATATTGTCATGACTGAGTAATCCAAGTGAAGAACACACTAGTTAGTATTAGGAAATTTGAAATTTCCTTTTTTGTGACAAAAGAGAATAAACATGTTTAGGCATAGCCTGAGGGAAGGGATGAGGTGCTCTGTTAATGGTTGACAAGAAAGCATGGCTGACAGTTACCTGCATTTTTTTATTGTTTTACCAGAAAGTACAAGTACTGATTACCTGGTGGGTCTTTGTAAGCTCTATAACAAGCATGTAAAGATATATGTGTTCAGGGCTTGCTGGTATCAACTTAGCCATTATTCCATGGAGGGAATCAGACATCCTTTCCAGTAAGGGATATAAAGTATCCTCACAGCAGTTAGCATATGCAAAGCCAATTCAATAGATGTAAAATATAAGGCTTAGCAAACAGGTCTGTAAACTATTAACTGCAAACGGTTAGCACACCAGTTTTATCTAAGTATATTTGGTATAAATGTAATCTTCCAATGTAATGTCCATTTCATATCTAGGTAGTCCTTATTTAGCAACTGACTTGGATAGGAATTGTTCAGCGTTGCAGTGCTGACAAAGTAATTTTGTGATCAATGGCCACATTTATAACCTTTGCAACATCTCCTCTGAGTCAAGTTCCCCAATAAAATCCATTGAGACAAGTATTGTGCCTGACCCCCCTTTCTCTTCTTTTTTCTCCCACTCACATAGCTGAGAGATTGCCTAAACAAGTTCTTTTTTCCTGAACTGCTTTTTTCCCAAGCACAAGGCTTTCCTTAAAAGCGTTAACTACAAGTTAACAAGCTCAGCTTTGTGAGCTTACTTAGTTTATTATTATCTGTTGCCAACTTGTGTTCCCACCTGAAATAGACTTTAATCAGTTTCACACTGAAGGCTTTTTTCACTCTTAGGCTTGGTAGCATGGTAGGCAAACAGCTAAGGTTGGTGCATTCCTTAATGTATATTCCCAATGTTGTGCCTGCTTACTCTCTTGTAATCTCTTCCTTTTCAATAAATGTATATAAAAACATTCTCTTCTTACTAATTATCCCAGTGAGCATTCAAAAGGGTGGGGTAGTGGGGAAAAAGGGTTATAGGATTTGACCCTTAACCCAACTTACTCATGAGTCAAATTTCAGAAAACATCTCCATCATTTGACTTTACCCAACTGTTTGAGGTCATATACTTCTGACCGTGTAAAGCAGGGGTGTCAAACTGCCGGCCTTCGGACCGGATGTGTCATGGCGAAACCATGCCCACCCCATTGCGGGCAATGGAAAAAAAGTTGCGATATGTTGTGACACATCACATGATGTTGCGAGTTTGATACACCTGGTGTAAGGCAAAGACAGACTGAAATAAACTCATAAGAACAGTTGAGGCCATGGGATTTTTCTCTAAGCACCTCTTCCCTTTAATGACTAAATTGTGAGACCCAACTGTGGTTGCCAATTGCTGAGTCATGTAACATCTTGAATTTCTTAGTCTTTTATTGATCTATATGTAATTCATGAATTATTTGTGTCAATCATTTCATACCTTTTAAAAATATATTTACTGGAACCATTTGCTGGGTAACTCTGGGTACAATATCATCAATGTTTAATTCCAAATTATGTTCTGAATACAATAAAATCTTGCTATTTTAACTTCTCAAATTTTATTTTATTAATATATTTTCAGTGCCAGTGACTCCAGTGTCAGTAAAACTATGGAAGAGGGGAGAGGATAACTTTATATCAGGGGTCTTCAAACTTGGCCTTTTTATGACTTGTGGACTTCAACTACCAGAATTCCTCAGCAAGCCTGCCTGGCTGAGGAATTCTGGTAGTTGAAGTCCACAAGTCATGAAAGGGCCAAGTTTGAAGACCCCTGCTTTATAGTATCCTCTTCAGTATAATATGTTATTGTGATATGGAACGTTGACTATTATCATAGTTTATGGTTCTTTACCAATACTCTTGTTAAATAAAATGAAAAATGGCTAATATTTAAAAAATACAAAACATATAAAATAACAAAAATGCTAATATTCAGTGACAAGGCTAAATGCGTGTTAACTTCCATTCTAAAATTAGATAGAATGGGAGCCACATGTGAATCCAGACTATTTACATTTCATGGCCCTGACTGTGATACATGAAAAGGCTCTCTTTAATTGTTATTCAATATTGGTAATAAAGTCTACTATAAACCAAAGAGAATGTGACTTCTGTCACCTATGGAAGAAAAGATTTGAAAAATCATGTCTCCTGTGGGTACTTTCTCAAGAGTCATAGGACTGGATGGCACACTTTTCTACAGTATGGGAAGAATAAAATCCCAGATATTTCCAAAATCACTCTATAAGAAATGCACTATTTTTGGTATGGGAAAAGACAAAAGCTAAAATCTATATGAAAATACCAGGATGGCTTTCAACAATGGAAGCTTTTGTTCACCTAAATTAACTTTGAGAAAATTCTAACCTACAAAGATATTTTGAATATGGAAGGGAAATTAAAATCTAAACAAGAGTTGGAAGATCAGGGTACTGATTTATCATGATGGCCTCAATTGCAAATACAAATAAGATATGAAAAAAATGCTAAAATAGATGGTTTTTACAAAGACCAGACAATGTTCGATCAGGTATTATTGATATCAGATGAAAAGTTGATTAAGAAACTGTATAATTTCCTATTAAATTTAAAAATGGAAGATGAACAAGTGAAAGAAACAATGATAACATGGGCAAAAAATTTCAGGCACAATATCGAATTAGAAAAATGGCAAAATCTTTGGGAAAGAAACTATAAACTGACAATGGCAACTGCCTAAAAAGAAAATTTATATAAAATGTTTTATAGATCGCATTTACCATCTATGAGATTAGCAAAAATATTTAAAAACACGTCTAGTTGGAAATGTAAGCAAAAACCAGGCACATACTATCATCTTTGGTGGATGTGCCCTAAAGCAAAAAAAAATTGGACAAAAATATATATTTGGTTAGAAAAAAAGAAAACATGTAGATTTTAAACCAGAACTATATCTATTAGATATAATATTTAGAAAAATATGATAAAGAAAATGTATATTTAATGTTGCATGTATTAACAGCAGCAAGAATTGAATTTGCTCAGCATTGGAAAAATGAACAAACGCTATCTGAAGAAGAGATAATCAAGAAAATACTGGACTGTACAGAAATGGATAGACATACGCGGAAGATTAAAGAAAAAGAAGATACAGAATATTTTCAGACATGGGATGTATTTTATCAATGGCTAGAGAAACGGGGTAGAGGTTAGGAATTTAATGTGTATTGTTAAGTAAAACAAATGGACTCAGAAAATACTTTGTTTGCCAAGCACCTATGAACTGTAAATATAGAAAACTAATAAAATATTATTAAAAAAAGGAATCATAGGACTGAAGTCAGAATCCTTGTTATTTGGGATTAAAACTGAAAATATTCTAACAATTGGAAATTATTCATAATTTGTCGATTGTCTGATACCAATAAGACCAGAATATTCTTTTGCAAAGAGAAGGAAATAGCGAAGAAGAAATGGCCTGCAAACAGATCATCCTTAAAGATTGGTAAACAGGAAAGGAAGTGAGTAAAAATTATCTCATATCTTACATCAGTGTTTCTCAACCTTGACAATTTTAAGGCATGTGGACTTCAACTCCCAGAATTCCACAGCCAGCATTGCTGGCTGTGGAATTCTGGGAGTTGAAGTCCACATGCCTTAAAATCGTCAAGGTTGAGAAACACTGTCTTACATTGTTTATATCAGATCTTCCCATCCTATTATTTTCCAGAAGTAGTAGATAAAACTCCCATTATATCCAGCTACCATGGCTCTGTGTGTGTGTGTGTGTGTGTGTGTGTGTGTGTGTGTGTGTACATTTGAAAATACTGAAATGCAAGTCTCTATGAAGTATATCTAACTAAGAATAGTATCCAAAAGTAGCTCCCTCCTGATTGTACTTTGTTTTCTCTGTGTGTAATGTGAGAAAGAGAGAAACAATTGACTGTAGTGGTTATAAAAGCACCAAGCTCAAAATCGAGAGACCGAGTTCTAGTCCTACCTTAGGCGTGAAGCCAGCTAAGGGACATTGAGTGAGTCATTCTCTCTCAGCCCTAGAAATAAGACAATGGCAAGCCACTTCTGAAAATATAGTTGCCACGAAAACTGCAGGGATTTGTCCAGGCAGTCACCAGCAGTCAGAATGATTTGAAGGTTTCCCCATGAGAAAAATGTTATTCTCAGTGCAGATAAACCTTCAGAGATCAGTAAACTCATTTTCACTTTTAACAGTAGGTTACTTTAAAGCAAAAGTAAAACACTTACTTTTTTCTTTTTTCATTCCCCACCCACTTATAAAACATGTCATATCAGACGTCAAGGCAAGAGTAAAGTTAGGCAAGCAGACAGGCTGAACATAGGAATTAAATGTGATAGGTTTGCTTAGATGAAACACAGCAATATCATCTTTGTATGTTGCTGTGTCAAAGAAATAATGGATCCTGATGGCCTGAACGCGTCTTCTTATAGTATATGTTTTATGTCTGAAAAGATGATGCAAGCCAATCACAGCCCTCCACATTTCTGGAAACCTAGGAGAAAATAAAGTATCTTTAAAAATAGTAATTATTATGTAAATATAATTTCAGAGAGGTGAAATTGTTTCTTATTTCAAAATCTGTGCATGTCTAATAAGCATGGAGCCAGATTTTATTCAGATGATGACAAAATGGCAGACTGTGATAGAAAATACAACTGGTGTAAATAATCATTTAAACTGATCTAAAAATGTACCATTTGCAAAATCAGATTCAAACCATTTACTGCAATATTCCTAATTCAAGAATTCTCAAATAATGTATCTGAAATTTATTATTTAAATAAATTTTATATAGGCAACTGTCTCACAACATAGTGATTCTAGGCAGTGAACAAAAGATTATAAACCAAAACAACCAAAGACCATCAATATAACATATGCCTAAGATCTAAGAACATATATTCACAGTTAGTTTAAAAAACAACCACCAACCCAATCAACAGCAGAGATGCTTAACATTTTGGCCCCAATGCCTAAGGGGACAACCAGGTTTAACTGCCTTGTGACAGACTAACAGAGTTGGTTCCATCTGGACCTTCCAGAGAGATGTGCTCTACAGGGCAGGTGCTATTACAGAGAGGGCACAACTCCTGGCTCTCATGACACTGCTCAGTAGAAGGAGTCAGAGCACGTCCACCCTGTTAGCTCTGGTAGGGCAAGCAGAAACAATTGGCCCTGTGCCATGTGAAACTTTATAGGTAGTAACCAGCACTTTGAATTATACCTCGAAGCTTTTTGAAAGCCAGCACAGTTCACACTGCAGCAGTGTTGTGTAACCTGAAACACCTAAAACTGCCCATATTGTTTTATTTTACACATTCTGAACAAATGCTTTGGAAAGGTAGCTCCATGTAGAGTGCATTACAGTAATCCAAACAGTAGGTAGATCTGAGTTTCTGTGAATAGGGCCTCCTATTCCTATTCCTCCTACCTTTAGATAGGTACATGAGATGAACCTATCTAAAGCGCCCACTTGGTCACATCTACCACAGGCTCTCTGAAAAGGAATCAGAGTGCAAGAGATTTTCCAAACTGTTCACTAGCTCTGACTCTGGGAGTGTAACCCTTTTCAGAGTGAAAATATTTGGATCCAATGGCTCCAATATCCACAATTGCTTAGTTTTGCTACAAGACTTCAGAACATAGCTGAAACCTTCCCTATCCAGACTCCAAAGCCTATCGACACCATGAAAGAACCTCAGTGGCATCACTTATCAATCCAGGCAGAAAAGTTTAGTTGGATATCATCAACATTCTGATGATGCCTTACCACATGTTGATGGATGAACCCCCTGAGTGGTTTCATGTAGACGTTAAACAGGAATGGAGAGATTGGACTCTGAAGGAACTCCACAAAGTAGGAGCTTTAGTCTTTACTAGCCCTGGAGAAAGTAGGAGAACCACACCAACATAGTGCCTCCCTAATCCAAACCTCCTGAGCTGTTCCTGAAGGAAACTGTGGTTGATAGCACTGAAGACTGTTGAGAAATCAATATGGGCCAGGATAAATTCATGACCCATCAGAGGGAATCAATAGGCGCATCCAATACCATCCCAGTGCTTCAACCAAGTCTGAATTCTGAGTGAAAAGATAATTTCCTTCCTCCTGAGCTGCAACGCAATTGTATTCTCTGAAAAAATAAAGTTGGAGATTGGATTAAATTTGTCCAGTTCCTCTGGGCTTCTTGAGAAAAGGGTACCCTGCTTTCAAGAACAGCAGAACCACTCCATCTCATAAAGAAGCATTGACCCTACTACATAACCTTCCAGAAGGACTTAGCCAGCCATGAGAGACATAGATCTAAAACACAGGTAGCCATATTAATAGCTCTGAGGATCCTATTCGTTTTATCAGGCTAACAGGTTCAAACTCTTCCCAGCTTATCAGTTAAGACTGTGCTCAGGAAACTCCATAGGACAGTGATGGCGAACCTTTTAGAGACTGAGTGTCCAACTACAACCCAAAACCCACTTATGCATCATCGAGTGCTGGGTGGGTGTGGTCCATTGGCTGGGTGTGGCCAATTGGGTTGGCGTGGCCAATTGGGTGGGAATGGCTGCAGTGATAACAGCGGACTGGGTGGGATTAAAAAGTTCAATCAATCAATTCCAACTTTGCAAGAACTTTTTTTTTTCCGCGAGAAGTTGAAATTGACTGATTGAACCTTTTTTTTGCACGTTTCTTCTCCTTCCTCATTACATATGAGCATGAAGTGAGATACAATCTATTTGTTTCATAAATATGAATTCATTCTAGCCAGTTCTTGCTGTATTTTCTCCCCATATTATATTCTAATATGATAGGGATTTATCATAACTAATTGTAGCCAACATAAGGTAACACACATTTAGCCATATCTTTATTTCAAAGCAGATGATATGCAATCTGAAGATGGAGATCATTAATATCTGTCCTTTGCCATAATTAGACCACTTTCTCATCAAACTGCATGTCACAAATGCTCTGGATCCTTATAAGGATGGCAAAATTGTTAGGATTGTTTTGCTAAGCACCTACTTCAGTGGTGGTGAACCTATGGCACACCTGCCAGAGGTGGCACTCAGAGCCCTCTCTGTGGGCATGCATACTGTTATGTCCCGAGCCTTGCAAACGGCTCGGGCGTTTGCAGGCAGTCCCGGGCAGGTGCAAAGCTGCCCGGGACCAGACAGGCTGTCGCCAGCGCCGTGCGCATGCGCGGGTGCTGGCACGGGAAAAGTAACACATTTACCCGGGAAGCGTCTATATAAGAAGCTGGGAGGTTTTGGGGACTGGCTGAAGCCATCTACTTGTAAGCTGAACGCTGAATAAAGAAACCTGAGAACTCCAGCTGCTTCTCGTGTCTGTTTTCCCGCCAAGGACGCAACACTGGCGACGAGGATGGGATGCCTTGCACTACATGGAAAGGAAAAAGTGTAAGCTTACCCAAGGAGTCCTGAGCGGCGGAAGAGGAACGGTGTTGACTCAGCAGCTGCCCGCCAATCCAGTGCGCATTCGGGGGTATGCTGGCTGATAGACCCGTCTCCTGAAGATCCGAAGATGGCGAAAATCGGAAGGCTTGCGGAATTCGACGTCTCACATCCAGAGCGGTGGGAGTCCTACGTATCCAGAATGGAGACCTACTTCAAGGCAAACCAAGTGAGGGAAGATAGCTTGAAGGCTGCCACCCTGCTTTGCGCTTGCGGCCAAGCCGCCTTCGAAATCGCAGAAAACCTTGCAGCACCTGTTCCAGTAGAGTCTGTAAGCTACGCAGACCTGAAGAAGCTGCTGAAGGACCACTTCCACCCCCAGGTGTCCGTTATCTCATGGCGCCACACCTTCGAGCAGAGGGATCAACGGTCCGGTGAGTCAGTCAAGGAATACATCGCCGCGTTACGGAAGGCCGCCAAGCCCTTCGAGTTCAAGGACCTCGAGGAACGACTGAGGGACCGATTCGTGTGCGGGTTGAGGCATCGAGAGCTACAACAGAGACTTTTCGCTAAGGAAGAATTATCCTTCCAAGACGCTTTAAGGGAAGCCACCGCGGAAGAAGCAGCAAGCGGCGCCGTCAAGAACATGCGGCCGATCAGAAGCAGTGCAGAGGGTGCGTCCGTGCACCAAGAAGACGTCCGACGAAACTCCGAGGAGGATCCGGACTAAGAAGTCGACCGTCTACACCCCGCGAAGGGAGAAAATCAGAAGGAAAGCTCTTCAGCTCCGCTCAAGTGCATCGGCTGTGGAGGTCGCCACAGGAGAACCGACTGCAAGTTCCGCTCCGCTACCTGCCGGGCATGCGGCAAACAAGGGCACATTGCAGCTGTGTGTCTGGGCCGCCGAAAGGCACAACCTCAAGAAGAACGCCTGAAGGGTACCAGAGTCCCCAGCCAGAATAGGGTAGGTTTTTGCGCTTCGCGTAGAAACATTTGTAGGACAGTCACACACAAGCCCATGAAGAAAAAGCTGTCACTCAACGTGAAGCTACAAGGGGTTCCATTATCTATGGAACTAGACACAGGGTCTGCCCTTTCCATCATTTCATTGCATACATTTAGGAAGATTTGTTCCAGTAGTGGGACTAAGGCCAAGTTAAGGCCTTCTTATATTGTATTAACTGATTTTCAGAACTCAAGAGTGTGTGTTAAGGGGGAGGCCACCCTTAACGTGCAATACAAGAGTTTTGAAGGTCCACTAGACTTGTTAGTAGTAGGGGGTGAAAGAACGAGTCTCATAGGACTCGATTGGTTTGAGGCCCTGGGGATACACGTCACAGGACTCAACAGCTGACAAACACTCGACCTACAGGAAGTCTGCAAGGAATTTGCAGATGTTTTCAGCCCCCAGCTGGGCACATTCAAAGGACCACCTGTGTCCTTCAAGCTAGACCCCACTGTCACTCCCATTAGGATTAAAGCAAGAAGGGTCCCTTTTGCTTTAAAAAGTAAGATTGACACTGAATTAGACAAACTAATCCAACAAGTAATCCTAGAACCTGTTGATTCCAGCCCATGGGAGACCCCCATTGTCACGCCTCTAAAGGCAAATGGGGACATTCGCATTTGTGCTGATTACAAATGCACACTCAATAAGGCATTGCAGCAACATGCCTATCCTGTTCCTGTGGTCAGTCACATCCTGGCCTCTCTCAAGGGGGGGCGTGTTTTTTCAAAGCTTGACCTAGCTCAAGCATATCAACAGCTGCCTGTTGATAATGATGCTGCCATAGCTCAGACTATTGTGACCCACAGGGGAGCCTTTAAGGTAAAAAGGCTGCAGTTTGGAGTGAATGTCGCTCCTGGGATTTTCCAAAGCGTAATGGAAAACACACTACGAGGTATACCAGGGGTCTGCCCTACTTTGACGATGTCTTGATTGCAGGAGACTCCACACACATTCTAGCTGAAAGGCTTAGGGCTGTCCTGTTAAGATTCAGGAAATCAGGCCTTAAGCTCAGAAAAGACAAATGCAAGATTGGGGTGCCTTCTACTGAATTTCTTGGATTCAAAATTGATGCTGCTGGGATTCATCCTGCTGAATCCAAACTAACTGCTATTTTAGAAGCACCCAGGCCAAAGTC